TTTATCGTGGTTGCTTAGTACGCTTCTGTAGTGGTCATTCTTTCCTCTATATAGACTGTCCCTTTCCCCTCTTGATTGTATGACTTTTCATGCAGTAACTGGGCAGGGGGAACTTAGGGAAGTGTGATTATGAAATTACTAGAACTGATCATGAATTATGGCCAAATATATTATTAGAGCAAATTTTCATTTCTTTTTTAAAGTAAACGATTGCAGATTGATGGTGTACTTGTTTGTGGGTGTGTGTGGGGGAGGGGGGAAATAAGCACAACGATCTAAACATTTCCAATTTTAGTGCATTATTAGATCTTCCAGTGATAAGTGCTATTATTGATTATAGATCTCTCTTCGTGTGGGTAAAATATATACTTTTGGAATGCTAATTGTACTTTTAAACAACAGTGCTTTCTGCTTTGTAATATAAAAACATTTTTCTCCAAAGATAGGGGGATAAAGGAAATAGAAGTTACCAGGATGAGTAAAAAGCCTCCAAGTCGTCCAGGGATCACGTTCGAGATTGGTGCTCGTTTGGAAGCACTGGACTACTTACAAAAATGGTAAGGAAGACATACGATGCTTAATTAGGCAAAAATACCATGAGCCATCTGAAGCTTCATTTTTTGGGGGTTTGTATTAAAAAATAACATATCTTAATTCAGTCCATATACTAATTTGGTGAATAGTCTTATTTTTAAAACATCAACTGAAGTGATTATAGAATGTTAGGAAATCATCTCACCAAACATTAAATTGAAAGTCATGAAAGAAACTAATATTTTAATCTGGCATTTCCAGATGTTAGATTATTCTCTTTGGCACTGGTATGTGTTTATTATAACAGTCTGTCTGCTAAAATATTTGTTAACTATGATATTAAATGAAAAACTTATTCAGAATACTCTGGCATACAGAGTCACATGCTAGATGGTTAAGTGTATTCTTGTGTAACTGAAGTAATAACTCAAGGATCCAGTTTTGTTTTAAGGTGTAAGGAGATTTCACAAATTTGAAAACTTGATATAGTATTCATTAATAAAAGTTTCCACGCATTACAATTAATTCTTATTGTAAGGTAAGTACGTTTAACAGTGCGCGTGGGAGCGGGGAAATGGAAGCACCAATCTTGTGACTTGGCCAGGTCACACACCAATTGTGTTAGAGCTAGGATTTGAAGTAAGATAGATTGGAAGGGCAAGTCAGCAACACTTATATGGACACTGTTTAACACTTATTTAAAATGCTGTATCGATTACTTTAGTGCTATTATGATGATGCTCTAAGCTAGTGGGAGAGATTTTCTCCTGTTGGCTTAATCACTGCTTCTTGCAGAGGTGAATTATTATATCTGCTGGAGAAGTTCTTGTTGACAGTGGTATCTACACCAGTGCTTAGGTTGGTATAATGATGTTGCTCAGGGATGTGGATTATTCACACTCCCTGAGCAATGCAGTCATACCAAAGTAATTCTGTAGTGTAGATTAGGGTTTAGTCTTCCAGTAACTGTTTACTTGGAGTAAAATCAGACAATCCAATTTTAGTAATGCAACCTGGTTTGGAAGTACGGTCTCAGTAATCAGTTTGAAGGAAATGTTGCTATAATGGATCAGACCTATAGTCTGTCTTATCTTGTCTTCTGTCTCCAATATTGGTTATTGCTAACAGCTTCAGAAGATGTTTATTCTTCACGTCTATCAGTTAATAAGTGGGAGATGCTATCAGTCATGTAGATCAGTATCCCTTTCACATTTTCATTCTTTCTGATAGAAAGTGTCTAATCTTGTTGCTCTCAATAATAATGGATCCTGGGGTGGAGAGCCTGGGGCCGGATGCTGCCCCTGGCTTGCCTGGATCTGGCCTCCGAGGCTTGGGACTCTTCCCCCCCAACCCCCAGCATTGGGGAGCCCAAGCTGGCACTCCAGCCTCCCCCCTCCTGCTGCCTCCCATGGAGCTGGAGCATTCAAAATCTACTAGCCTGGGCCTTCCTAGGCCCTGGTGTGCAAGGGGAATATGGGGAGTGTCATTCTCCTTCTTAGTCAAGGGCCGTGTCAATGAGGATTTTTTTGCTTCTCTCGTGTGTGCTGCCCCCGACTGATTTTTCTGTGCATTAGTGGCCCCTGACCCTAAAAGGATTCCCCATCCTTGCTAAATGCCATTGAGTTCCACAGGCTAAATTATATAGATACTCATGTAGTATTTACTCTATAGACAAAGAGGGTTTACATTTCCAGGGCTGTCAAATTGGCACATTTTACCAGCAGTACTTTGTTCAAACAAATCCTTTTCTTAGAAATTTTCACTGTGTCAAAAAGAAATAGAACTGATCTTTGAACCACATTCAATGCCATATTGTAAAAAAGGTTGAGATTGTGAAAGTAACAAATCTTACTATACTTTAAAAAGGCTTTTCCTGTGAGATGACAGAGTGACGTCCTGCATCACTTTGCGTCCTGCAGCCCCTCCCTCCACCCTCAGCCGTGTGGCCTCTCCTTTCCCCATGCTCCATGGGAGCCACGAGGCATGCGGCCTCCCCCATGCTTCAACCTGCCCCTGTGAGTCCTGGGGTTGCAGGAGCTTGCGAGCTGCGTGGCTCCTGGGACATGTGGCTCTGAAAAGAGACTGCCCTGCTTTGTCACCCACCCATCCCCCGCCATGATCCCCTGTTGGCTTAGTTTATATAAATAAGTGTAAAATTTTTATAACAACGCTACACAGAGGAACAGGAGTTAATATTTGTTGGTTCTCGGTTCGGTAAAATAGCGGGAGTCCCAGAGGCTTAAGGCCAAATACCCAGTGAAAAATACCGAATGATGGCAAGACTACAAGTTTTATCAAAGATGGAATGATTTATTAAACTGAACAACTTAAAAGAGCAATTACACAATATTTGCTACAGAACAATTGAACCACAACAATTTTTAAAATTTTACCTAAGTTACAGCTAAGTTAAATATATACACATTTCAAAAACTATTTAAACACACTGAACGCTGACAAATGACAAAGGTAAAAGTTGCAACTGAGCGATATATTTTCTAACCTGTCTCTTTTAAACCACTTAACAAACAGTGAGGGTAAATTAAATACTTACAAACCCAGCAACGACAACAGCACAAAGACATACAAGGAATCGGAGCATGCTCGAGATTCATACAGCCCTTTTTGTATTCGGTGGGTGGGAGGTGGCCTCCAGGTGATCAGTCCTAAGCCAGACTCAGATTCTGTCTTCCAGCATTCGGGAGTCCTCCCCAGCTTAAGGCTCAGGGGTTTTTATGTTATTGATGCTTTCCTATTACCGTATTTGGTATTTTGTGCTCTGGGAGTGGCATGGGTGTGCTATGGGTGCGGTGTGATGCCCATATATGGTGTTGAGTGCTGGATTCTGACAAGCTCCATTTTATTGGTAGATAAGCCTTGTTGCTGTCCATGTGACGTGGTGAGGTTGCTGCGGTAGATCTCGGCTATGTGCGTGTGGCCTGGCCAAGAGAACCCAAACTTGACAATATTAAAAATGTGCATCTAAAATAGTGGAAATGGAAGAAGCATGTTCTTTCGTTTGAAGAAAAATATTTTTTTATCAATAACCAGGGAGCATGTTATAGACAATTTGTCCTTCTGAGAAGACTGACCCACCCTAAGATATAGTTTATTTTAATTGTCTATATGGGTTCCACCTAATTTGCTCAGCTGTCACTATAGGGGCCCTTTCAAATGTGCCTGTTTTCCAACTAAAATGCATCCATTTCTGTTATATATAGAGAAATTGAACATACTCGAAAAAAATTATACAATTTACACAAATCCTGTTTCTGCTGCATTTAGGTCTAACAACTTTTCTTGAGGTGCAAAAAACCATGTCAGATTAGGGTTCAATTAAAATTGTTCTGTTTTATCATCACTCAGTTGCTCAAAATAGATTTAGCATCCTTTGAATTTATAAATATGTTTTTAGCCTTACATCTGTTTTTAAATTGATCCAACTTTAACTACAAGTGGGCTTTTTTAAAATTTAGGGTGATACCAATGTTGGTTTTTAAACATTTTCATATTTGCTGGAAATTATGGGGTGTATTTCGGACACTGGGTGAGATTAAGTTCTCAAGGAACATTTTTCTTTGCTTATGTATATATTTTCATTGGGCAATGTGTGTACAGTGGAATCAACCTTTTCCAACATTTACCAGGATAATCTAATGTTTGTGAGCTGCCTAATAATAGTAGGTGTAAATTTTAATTTAAAAAATTGAAATTTCTAGGAAAGTTTGTCCACCTGCTTTTGAGGGTTTCTATGTCAGATCTTAAGTTTTTATCAGTCAGAATGGATTATTTACAGCTCATCTCATGAAATGTTCTTTGTTTTGTTGGATAAGGCCATTAATTTCATGAAGTATTGTAGGCCTTGTCTACTGAGTTATGTTTCCATGATTGTAATGAACAATTACTGTTTTACAGCTGTGATATGCTTAGGTGATTGACAGTCAACTTGGGACTCTTGGGGGAAGCTTTATCCACTATGGACAAGGAAGTCAGTGAGCATATTTAAACATGGGTATTGTTTGTATGGTTTCACCATTTTGTAGCCATAGCTACAGTAGTTTCTATGTAACTGAGTACCTTTTCTTCATGATAAAGTTGTGACACAAGGCAGTTTTCTGAACAAGCTACATTCTCACATTTTGTTCTGTTTTAAACTCAACTAAATTGGTTGTAAATTCAACTGTATCCAAAGTCCACTTGAGTATTTGGTAACAAGTAATTAAACAGTCTGGGAAGGTTTAATAATTGAAATATTAAGAACAAAACAGATAGGTAAATTGATTTAAATAAAGGAATGAGTGTATAAATTGAATGCTTAAAAAGTTAAGTGCACATTGGGTTTGAGGTTTTTAAAAAGTCCTCCTTTGGTTCTGCTTTTGTATTTTACAGTGTCCATTCAGGACCTGAATTTGTAGGTATTAAATGTTTACGGGATCAGGCCTTAAACAGAAAGCTTTTTGGCATAGGGGACGTGGCTTAGAAATGGGTGCTATAAAATTAATGTGACTTCCTCTTCCTTTCTGTTCTTTTTTTATGATCCTGTGGACTCGTTATTTCTCCCATGAACAATTTGCTAATGCCTGATCTCTCTCTCTCCTGTCTGTCTGTATCATATCTCATCTCGTACTAAGATTGAATGTTCCTTGGACAGAGACTACCTGTTTTCTGTGTTTGTACGGAGCCCATCACGGGGGAATCCTGGTGCATTACTAGATCTTGTGTGTGTTATGATAATACAAATAATAATGACAGAATACAAATTCAGGAAAAGTGGGTAGTGAAGGAAACACAGAAAAGGGACAGTTGGTCTAGGCAGTAGATGCCAGGCAGAAAAAGCTTGTCAGTGTGCACCTGTTATAGAAGACTGCTATCTTTTGTGAATAGAACTGACTGAAGGGCCTAGACCCTGTGCTGATTTTTATCTCCTCACACAGTAGAAGTCTAAAGTTTTAAACCAGCTGCTTCTGCTGGCTCTCCCGCTCAGGGGGAGAGTGGGGAAGCAGCCGTGCATGAGGGGTGGGGG